CTTGCCTTGAGTACAGGGGTGGCGAACCAGTCAGAGACGAAGAGCCAATTTTTTTACTGAGTTACTGCAAAGAGCCACATCATAACCTTCCTCGCACACACGCGTGCGCACACACACACACACACACACACACTTTTTTGGCCAAAGATCAACTTTTGAAGCGACCAACTTCTCACGAACGACCCGATCGCGCACCTGCAAGCATACACACACACACACGCAAGGCTACGCACTCACGCGGGTGCCCACCAGTGCACTCGCGCACATATGCACGCACACTACGATGAGCAACAGTTGTAACGGGCCGAAAATGAATATAAGCTCAAGATACAAACAAACAAATCTTTTTTTCCCCACGCATTTCCTCCTCCCAACCCTTGCCGTCGACCTGGGAGCAGTTCTCTGGCTCCTGGTCCATTCTGATCGACGTATTGGGCACCGCTGCCTTAAAATCAGAGGTAATTCGCTGACTAGCTTCGCACTTAGCGCCGTTGTTTGCGCATGAGCAGTGATGCAGTCATCTGATTGGTTGCTCTCTATGTCAATCAAGTAACGGGATTTATGATAGGCTGACGGAGCACGTTCTGTGAAGTTGGCACCTTGTTTGAATGGCATCGCCGCTAACGAGGCGTTTTCAACGCTTGGCGTGTGAAAGCCAGAGAGCCGCATTGAACCAGCCAAAGAGCCGCACGCGGCTCGTGAGCCACCCTGCCCTAAACCATGCGAGAATTGACCAAAACAACAATGAGCCAAGCAACAATCACGTCTCCCCTTTTATAATTCAACACAATTAACAATAAATAATATTAGCTTTTCTATAAATCGAGTCTTTGGGGTGGTTTCACTATCCGACCCCTGCTGGTCTTATTCTGTCCCTTTCTGTCCATCTGTGTCTTTTCCTCATCTTGTTCGTTTGTCCTGTCCTTGCTCTTGTTCTCTTCCCTCATCCAGTCACTGCCCTGACTCTCCTGTGGTTTGGGAGGTGTCAGGTTTTGTTCTGTTGGTCTTGCAGCCTCGTTTTGTTCCGTTCAACTCTCAGCCATATTTTGTTCTGCTGGTCTCAGAGCCACTCTGTTACGTCTGTACAGAGTGCCTTCCACATCCATGACATAGCACCAAGGGCCCGCCTGCTGGAGACACACACCTCTTTTCCATCTCCCGGTCTGATCTCCAGGCAAAGGCTGCATTCTTATTGGTTGGCCAATTTTTAGTTCTGGCAGTTCTCTAGCTGATTTGTCATACCACAGCTTGGCTGTTTGATGCTTAGCCTTCAACTTCTCCGTAACACCCGTCACTATGCATGGCTCCAACAGACTCTCCGAAATAGGAAGTGGCGTTTTCAGCCGACGGGCCATCAGTCTTTGAGCCGGACTGTAGTCCATGTTGTCTGAAGGGGTATTCCTCCACTGCAATACAGCCAACCAGGGATCAGAGCCAGCACCAGCAGCTTTTTTACACAAATTCTTGGCTATTTTCACAGCCGATTCAGCCTTGCCATTTGAATTGGGGTGTCTCGGTGAAGACATAACATGGTCAAACCCCAAATCTTCTGAATGTGTCATTCTCAAACTGTGGCCCACAGTCAGTTATCACCCGGTCAGTCTCGCCATAGCGAGGAAATTGTGATTTACACTTTAGAACTGTGGTTTTCGCTGAGAGGTCAGGAAGCTGCTCAATCTCCCAAAAATCGGAGTAATGATCCACTTTTATCAGAAAGTCTCGCCCTGCTTGTCTGTATAAGTCCATGCTTAAAATTTGCCACGGCTGAACGGGAATTGCATGCGACATCATTGTCTCTTGTTGTTTGTGTGCATACTCATTGCACACCGAGCACTGGCCAACAAAGTCTTTAATTTCCCCCTGCATATTTGGCCAGTACAGCGTGTCTTTTGCCTGTCTGTAGCATGCTTCTCCTCCTATGTGACTGTTGTGGATGCGGTTGAGCATTTCTGTCCGTAGTGACCTTGGAATTATGACTTTGACTTTTGCAAAGTATTCCATTCTGACCGACCAATACTCTCTGATGGCTAAAGGTGTCTGCTCTTTGTGTTCAGGCCACCCCTCCGTGACCATATACTTCAACATTTGAAGCCAGGTGTCACTCGCTGTGTAGAGGTAATGGTAGAATCGTTGACATGCAAATACGATGCTCAAACACTCGTTTTCAACTTGAGCATAGTTTTGCTCGGTCTGTGTTCATGCACGAGATGCATAGCTAACTGGTTGGCCATTCTGGAGAAGGCAACACCCCAGACCGTTCTGGCTGGCATCACTGTACGATGACAGGCTTTGTCACATCATAGTATTTCAACAGTGGTGCTGATGTCACAAGCCATTTGATTTCCTGAACAGCTGCATCATGCTGAGGCAGCCAGTGAAACATGACATCTTTGTCTAGAAGCCTTCATAGGGGTTCACGTATTTCTGACAGGCGTGGAAGAAACTTGGCACGGTATGTAACAAAACCAATCAATCTATGCACAGACTTCACATCCGTGGGGTGGGACATCTCCTGAACTGCACTGATCTTCTCCGGGTCTGGCTGAAGACCGTCGGATGACAAAACATGCCCATGAAACTTGACCTCCCTGACTTTAAACTGTAGTTTCTTTAGGCTGAGTCTCAGTTTGATCTCCCAGCATCTTTCCATTTAGCGTGATTAGCTTTTCTTCGTGGTCCGCACCCGACAATCAATATGTCGTCAGCTATTGGTTCAACTCCAGCAAGCTCTGACAACAGCTCATCTTGTTTGCGTTGATAGACCTCCGGAGTGACCGACACGCCAAACGGAAGTTTTAGCCATCGGTATCTTCGCCACGGAGTCAGAACGTCGTCATGTAGCTGCTCCCTCTGTCCAGTTTACACTGAAGAAAAGCATCCCATGCGTCCACGAGCGTAAAGACACGAGCTTTCGGGAGTTTGTACAGCATGTCGTCAAGTGTGGGCATTTGGTAGTGCGAGCGTTTTAATGCTTTGTTGAGGTACTTGGGGTCTATGCAGATCCTCATTTTCTCTGGCTGCTTAACGATTACCATATTGCTGATCCACTCTGTTGGCTCAGACACAGGGGTAATATGGCCATCAAGTTCATGTTTATCCAGTCGGACTTTTACTGCTGTTCTGAGGACCACTGGGACTTTTCGTGGTGAAGTTTGTACTGGGGTCACAGAACCGTCAAGCTCAAAGTGTACCCCTCCCGGAAGTTTCTGGACTGGGTCCGTGAACACATCTGAGAAAGACTCAACCAGTTGGTGCTTGGTAAGTGGCCCAGTGCTGCTCTGCCCGATCAGATTCAGTTCTTCTGGGATGGTGAAATGCATTAGCCCCAACTCCACACTTGTTGAGCCTGACAGTAGGGGGCGCTGTTTGCACCTCACAACCTCAAAGTCTAGAATATGTCTCTTGCCGCGTACAACACATTCTAGCTTGGTCTTGCTTGAGAGTAGAGGAACGTTGGGCGCTAGCTTCCTCTTGTCTCTGATGCTCATTATATTGCGCGTGGTCCCCGAATCCAACTGACATCTCTGGCGTGCTCCGTTTAATGAGAGGGTAGCAAACCATTTTTTTCCTTGACCATGTAGAGCACTAATGCTCTCTGCAGCGTAGATTTTGTCCTGTTCGTCATCAAACTGTGCGTCTTCCGTGACATTGATTCTCTGGTTGGATTGAACTTTTCTCATGCTTACTTTTGCAAAGTGATTCAAAGTCCCACATTTATGACATGTTTTTCCAAATGCTGGGCACGCATCAGTTCCCCGTTTGTGTGAGCCACCACAATATTTGCACTCGATATTAATGTCCCCTCTTCTCTGTCCATCTTTGGGTTTATACATGCCTTGTGTGCCCCGTTGCTGTTGCTTGTCTGAAACATGAATACTCTCTGATATGCGCTCTGGCGTCACGAGTTTCAATTTCATACCTGTCATTTCAGCCTCTCTGCACATATCAATGGCTGAGTGTCAGGTCTTTCTCCCTAAGTAGGCGTCTTCTCACATTTTCATCAGTGATTCCAAGGACCAGCCGGTCGCGTAGCAGCTCTTCTTTTAGCTCTCCGTATTCACATGAAGCGGCCTTCTCGCGCAGTCTTGTAACAAATGAATAGATTGGCTCACTGTCGTCCTGCTTGCAGTTTCCAAACATGTATCTCTCAAATATTACATTCCGTTTTGGTTTGAAATAATTCTCCAACGGGTCCAATATCTCTTTCACGTCCTCCTGTTGTGCCGCAGACAGGTTCAGGTTATGTTTGTCCACATGGCGGCAATCGCCTCCCATATCTCTTCTCAGAGCAGCAGCCTGCACTCTTTTGTCTTTATCTTCCAACCCGGATGCCAAAGAATAGTCTTCAAATTCAGCACGAAAGTTATCCCAGTTGTTAGCAACATCTCCAGTCAGCTTCATCTCCTCCGGGGCTGGGATGCTAA